CTTCTTTTCTTTTTTCTTTTCTTTTCTTTTCTTTTCTTTTCTTTTCTTTTCTTTTCTTTTCTTTTCTTTTCTTTTCTTTTCTTTCCTTCCTTCCTTCCTTCCTTCCTTCCTTCCTTCCTTCCTTCCTTCCTTCCCTTCCTCCTCCTCCTCTTCTTCCTCCTTCTCCTCTTCCTTCTTCCTCTGTCTGTCTGTCTGTCTGTCTGTCTGTCTGTCTGTCTGTCTGTCTTTCAATACTGGGTATCAAGCCCAGGACCTCACATGCTTTGAGTCACACCACCAACAACAACCCTGCCTGAAAACATTTTTACTTTTCAGACTGATTGGCACTGTAGAATTGAAGAAATTCATGAATTTAGGGAGAAAAATTCCTGAATTTAGGGAGAAGTGCATGGCCGTAAGTACAGGAAGAGACCAGAAGCTTTTTAGGCCACCTCTTGGCCTTATCAAAAAAATCTAAACCAGCAGACTTTACCAGACGCTTAGTCTGGAGGCTGACATTAATGAACATCAGTAGAAGAAGGAACATACTTATGCTTTTATTCTCGTTTTTAATTGATCTTAAATTTCTTGCCTGGCCTTTTGTCTTTGACACAGCTAGAGTCATGAATCGATGTGTTGCTCGAACGAGAAGCATAGGCAATGTATTCCTTTTCCCTTCACCAATTTCCTGTTGTTTCTATTCCGGGACCACTGTACAGCCCATCCAGTTCAGAGATTGAGCAAGCTCTGCTATCTGTAGAACACTGTGCTCTAGCAGGCTGTGTAGGAAGGACCGCAGATATCCTGTAGCTTTTGGAAAAGCAGAAGGCTTCTTTTGCAACTAATTGTATCTATTTGGTTTTAAAAAGTGAAGAAAAATTCCTGAATTTAGGTGTCCATTTATATGTTAATTACATTGATCTCAGTTGCAGCAGTATGGTCTTAATAGCTGATTGTAACAGTACCCAAATCTGTGATATCAGAATGTGACATGCATATTTTAATTTGAGAAATAGTTTAACATTTCTAGATATTCATTTAAATGTGGTTATGCAGGTTAAACATAATGTATGATCACTGTTTCTTTCATTGCTTCCAATTAAACCTTGCTTGTTAGTTTAACCTGTAGGTAATCCCATCAAACAATTGATGTCAAGGAAACACTGCCCACAGTAGCTTCGGAAGAGTGGCCATTAATTTTAATTGCCTTGATATTAAAGATTAAGAAGTATTGGGACTAGCAGAATAGAAACGATCTGATGTCAAGCAAATCCACTTGCTAAAGCTTCCCCAGGCTGCTGGTGATATTAAAATTTTACTGTGAGAATTAAATAAACCTTTATTAGTGATGACTGTTGTTTGATTGGTCCAGGGGTGTGCATAAACAGAAGATTCTTACATATGTAGAGATGAGACCTTCAATGGTACAGAGATTCCTCAATTATGAAACTGTTAATAAAGCTGTAATCTGATTTTCCAGGCTAGGTTTCATTAATGTATTATAGCTTCTCTGATTGTCAAGGTAATATTAACTACAAAGTACTAAATCCAAAAGAGAATTGTTTAGAAGAAGAGAATTCTAAGATAGGCCTTTGTTGCTAAATTCTGAGTTGGGGAATTTTCATTAATTATGCTTAAGAAATGCCAAATTCCCTTTCAACTGGGACTGTCTCCCTTTGTACTGTAGATATATTCAATCTTTAACTCTTTTTGAGGCCTGCCAGGCTTGTTCAGGAAAGCCAGAGTGGTATTGCTTGTGAAAGCAGCTTTGTGCGAGGAGCTCCCATCCTGCCTCTGGAGCTGAGGGCTTTTGTTGTGAAAAGTAAGGTCGATCCTGGGAGGATTTGCTCTAACAAGCACAATCATAACCCATACCTTCAGGTTTCTTTTTCCATCGGATTCAAAACTTTTCTGCTGGGTGGAAGTGGATCCTAATAATTACTGAGGCTGGCCTCTTCAGGTATAGGACCCCTCCCCCCAGTATCTGTCACTGTCCTGCTTGGGTCCCCATAATAGCATCATCTCTGCATTCCCCACGTTCCTCACCTCCATCCAGCTCATTGGTGACCACTCCACCTGCTGCTTTGTCTGGCTCAGATTCTCATCACCACCTCCCTGTGCTCTCTCTTGACTCTTCCTCCTGCTGCCATATTCTCTAGAGTTCCCACACACTGCCCCTGTAGCTTGTGGGACCCAAAGAAGGGAGGACCAGAAGGCCAGCACCAGGAGGCAGCAGGTCCTTCAGGCTGAGCTGGCAGCCAAGTTTTGACTATCTAGATGACTGGAGAAGAAAGGGAACCAGATTTCAGTTCATCTAGAAGGACTGTGCAACAGTGGGATGGGGCCATGTGGGGCAGTGAATACCACATCTCTGCAGATGGAGATGCTAGAAATGAGCACAGCCAAAAAGGCAGATTCAGAGGACATCTGAGCTCCACCTTAGACTTGTGGAACTGGAGGTCCTGACAGAACATCTACATGGAAGTCTGTTTAATCTGAGAACTAAAATCCTTCATAGATGTTAGGAATAGAGATAGAAATTTGGGAGTTACCCACACAAAAAGAATAACTAAAATTTTGCATATGGATAAAAAAAGAAGGGGTGAGAGTTGAGTCTTAGAGAAGCACACACATTCACACATTGTGAATGAAATAGACACTGGGGGAGGTGTAGCAGAATGTCAAAGAATCCACACAAAGAGAGAGTTCTGAGAAAAATGAGTGGAGATTACAAGCATCAGACAGAGTCTGCTGAGAAGGCAGACAAGTTGAAGAGAGACACAAGGCCATTGGAATTGGGACTGAAGATTCCTGGATCAACTACCTACCTCCATCAACCACCTAGCCCTTGAGATTGTTAAAATTAAATAAGAAAACAAGCACAAAGAGCTGTACTTGTTATATCTAAAAGTCGCTAAATGACAGTTATTATACCCCCCCATATGTAATATGAAGCAAAGAGGGCAAAAGATAAAAATAAATCAAACAAAATGATGGTAGAACAGCAACAACTTGCAAGTACCAATCTGTACCACATTTATTTCCTGATGGGTTTTGGCTTCTTTTCTGCTTGAGGAACCCAGGCATACTTTATGGGTCCTCAGCAAGTGTGTCACTTGTCTGTGCACAGGTGTGCACATGGTGTTCCCAGGATGGGACAGCATGTGGGCAGCAGTCAGGCCAATGTTGTCTTCCTCAAGTGGCCCCCTTGCCAGGACTTTCTGGCTTCTCCCAGAAGGATGAACGCCATGGGTTGAAGAATGAGAGTCTTGTTTCCAAAGCAATTAAAGACTTGGCAGAGGTGGTCATCAGGGATGCCCATTGGTGTAAACTGGGTTAGAGGGCTCTGAAATACATAGCACTCCTTATTTTTCTTCAGGGCTCCTGAGTTGCTGTTAGAAAATAGTATCTTTAGGGGAGACCAGTGACCCTGATACCACAACAACATGTTCTTTTGGCAGATCATTAAGAAATTATTGAAAACTATGTGTAAATTGTTACTTTAACAAAAAAAGAGGCAAGATCCTTTGATACACTGCATGGGTATATCATCTTATAAATTGCTAGATGGCTTTCAGCTACTACTTTGTATAGCTCAACTACAAGTACCTGAATACATCATGTAACTCTAAGCCATGCATCTTGGGCTGAAGTTTCGCTGTCCCTGAAACATGATAAATCTATCTGCCACCAAGATTCTCTATAGAAATCTCTGCTATTTGCACCGGCTGACATCATAAGTAGTTTATGAAAGAAATAAGTATATTTCACCTGATGAAGTGCAGAGCTGTTCCTCTGCATCTACATTTGCATTTGATCTTATTAGAAGTACTGCACTTGGATTTCCAAATTGGGACCTTCTCATGTGTTAACTGGCAGAGCTTGAGCAGCCACCTTGGCAGACATGCAGTACCTTCTACGGCTGGAGACAATAGGATTTTTCATCCATTATTAATTGGTGTTACTCTTCTCAACAGACTAAACATGATTCTCCCCTACAGCTGCCAGAATTGTTCCAGACCCCCCCAAAAAGAATAAACTGTCCTCTCTCAAGTGTTGCCTTATTGTTTACCTAACAACAAATATTTCCTTTAGCTTTTCAGCTACTTTTAGGGGGCCTAATTACTTATATACTCATTGGTGTATGTGCCAATTGGATAATTTGTATGAGCAGTGCTCCTAGCCACTTTCTTACTGTGGCCAACTCTAAAAAGCAGCATTATTCAAAATGTGTATATGAAAAAATTTACCAAAATCATTACACATTGTCCATAGGATCTGAGATTACAGGCTAGAAATTGTCTCCTAGGGTATTTATTCTCTTGGTGTCCAATAGTTAATGTTAGAAGTTTTACTTTTTCTTCCTTTTTGACTTTTCTTCCTCTTTTAATTCCTTGTTTCTCCAATTTGTAGGTATCCAACTGGTTTGGCAACAAACGAATCAGGTACAAGAAGAATATCGGCAAGTTTCAGGAAGAAGCCAACCTCTATGCTGCAAAGACAGCCGTGACAGCTGCACATGCAGTGGCCGCAGCTGTGCAGAACAACCAGACCAATTCACCCACCACGCCAAATTCTGGTGCGTACTGGGCGCTCACTCCCTCTTGGCCAGGCCACCTTATGCCACAGCGTCCTATCCCACAGGGCATGAAACAGGAGCCGTACTGAGGACACACTGGATTTCTAAGGGAAGACTTATGTTGAGATGCAAGTTTGTTTGGGGATGAGTGAGTGAGTGGTGACCAACCCTTGTAAGCTCACCGCTCCCAGTGAACACCACTCTACTGGTCAAGTCTGGAATGTGTATACTTAGTGGAGGCCTTTAATTCAGTGATTAGATGAACCGCTACCATAGTGATTGCTTTGGCTATGTTGTTCTGTGTATCGCTCTATGGTCAGCAGCAGATCATCAAAGAATGAAATAGCAGGGGTGGGAAATGGGCCAGTAGTGGTCTGTAGAGAACAACTATCAGCGGCTTTCGCCTGATGGGCTGCAACTCCACACTTTTCCGGCCTCTGCTGTGCTGTGGTGGTGTGGTGGTCAGATGTGAGGGAGACTGTGCTTGACTCTCAACTCTTTGTCTAGCACATTTGGGCAAAATTTTATGTGACATTTCTGATGGAGGGAGAAATACCTTACAATTAAAGGGAATTTGAATGATAGTGAAGTTTGTGTAGACAGTCCAAAAGGTGGGCTGGGGGAGCAGTTCAAGGGTTTTTTGAGCAGATCTTTTAATACATATTTAAATGTTTAGTGGGGAAAAATTCAAAAAGAAGCTCTGTTAAAATTTGTTTTGTCACATGCACATACTTTCTTTTTAATGGGACACAAACACAGGTGAAAGAAAAAGTAGAATTATGGCTAAGAAAGAAAATATCAGAAAAACGTGTCCTTGTAGGTAATTACTAGCATGACACATAAAGATGCTGAAGAGCTCTGGCAGTGAACAAGTACTGGAGGTGAATGAAAAGAGGGGAAGGTGCCAGGGCAGCTACAGTGTTTTTCTGTTTATTTCCATTTGTCTCTTTGGTTTTTTGGTCAGGCTTCCCCTCCAGTAAGGCCTCTCCTTGATGTAAAGAGAATCACAGGACCTAACTCTGGGGTTATTCACCATTCTCCTAGATCTGGAAATGCCTTATATTGTATACAACCTTCCCTTCTGTATCTTTTCTCCTTTCCCTGCCTCTACCTCTTTGAGGATTATGCGTGTAGCTCTCTGTTATTCAGCTACTTAACTCTTTCCTTTCCAGGTTCTTCTGGTTCTTTTAACCTCCCAAATTCTGGGGACATGTTCATGAACATGCAGAGTCTGAATGGGGATTCTTACCAAGGGTCCCAAGTCGGAGCCAATGTGCAATCACAGGTAGGAGAGATGCCCCAACTGGGGCCTTTCTGGCAGGGTAGGGTTTGGGCTCAAAACTCCTTCCTCTGACCCTGTGGAAGTGATCTGTACATCCATGCAGAACCTGTGCTGGGTGCTCCCAAACATGACCCATCTGCCCCACATGTAATCTAATGAGAAGGCAAATGAACAGTGACTTTTGTTGATTTAATCCTGATAAACTTTGTGAATGCATTCGGCTCTGGCTTGAGCTCATGGAGAGGGGTGGGGTGCATCTTACTTTTGTTACAGAACAGAACAGAAAAATCATGTGTGCCAGTGTGTATGTGATTTGAGAACATACCTCTCTGTTTCATTTCTGTAGTTTTCTAAGTCTATCTAAAAGCCTGAATTCTTAAAGTATATTCTGGGTTCAACTCTTTTCTCCTCCTATTAATTGAGAACAACTGCTCATAGAGTTTGTGTGCATTTACCTCTGTGTGTGTGTGTGTGTGTGTGAGAGAGAGAGAGAGAGAGAGAGAGAGAGAGAGAGAGAGAGAGAGATCCAGAATATATATTTACAAGTAGGTTTTTACCCACAGCATTTAGTTGCTGTAGGTGGAAAGTCTGAATTGCCATGAAGATGTTATAGTTTGGCTGGCATAAAAAACAAAGACATGTGAGTTTAAATATGCACAGAATTGCTGAAATTCTGCCAGTCACATTTGATTGATAAATTTGTCTCTCAATGAAGATGCTAAACCCTTGTGGCACACATAATTCAAATTGTTTCCTTTTGTAAGTGATGATGTTTTAATAGATTTGGGATGATGAATCTTGTTTCATCTCACTTCTAGGTGGATACCCTCCGTCATGTTATCAATCAGACGGGAGGCTACAGTGATGGCCTTGGAGGAAACTCACTGTATAGTCCACATAATTTAAATGTGAGTACTTTGGGGAGCTGGCTGCAGGAATGGTGTCAGGGAAAGTGGCCAATAAATACATTAATAGCTATTTGACTTGGCTTCCTATGCTGCTGGTTGTTAGGGAAGGCACCATTTTTGCTGCACTTTTATTTTATGCACCCCAATGCTTGGTGTTACCTCACAGATGCCCAGAAGTGACTGGTGTCCTGTCATCAGTGGGGACTTGACCATCAACCCATTAGGACACCATTTCCTAGAGGCCACAGTGTGTTCCATGGAGATGGTGAAAAACATCATTTATCCTAAAATCAACAGCAGGCAAAATTTCCAAGCACAGAGCAGGTGAAGGTGATAACCGTGAAGGGCCCCAGATTGATCAACAAACATAGCTAAGCAAGAATTCTGTTCTTAAAAGGCTCTTACTGTATTGTCAGTGTGGATCATGGATTGCTAAACATGTTCGGCAATTTGAATGACCTCTCGATTTTAATTATGGAGGAAATGATTACCAGTCCACCCAGACTTTCCTTTTGACGTGGATGAAAAATGGAAAAACACCCAGCTGGGCTGCGGGTAGGATAGGGGACAAGGGATGGAGCCAGCATGGTGCATCCCGGAGGGAGCAGTGGACAGAGTCCAGGACTCCAGGCTGCAGGAAAATGGGGCTTGAGAGAATAAGCTCGAGAAGAAAATGGACAAAACATGCCTTCCTTAGGGCTTGGCTTGCTATGAAAGTAAATATTAATGATTTTAAAAGTGATTGAAGATGTTCAATTGTAAAGGGGAAAAAGGACCATTAAATACTCAAATCTTTTACATTTGAAATGTCAAATCTTTCTTTTTGGGTTTATAAATAACTCATAATAACCCACAACAAACCATATAAAAAGCCTTTTAGTTGCATTTCTCCTTTTTCATTTAAGTGTTTTGAAATGCTTCAGAGAATGTGCGATATCCTTATCAACATGATAAAATATGAAACTGTGATTGCCTGCAGCATTTTACAGACATGAATTCCATCTTCGCTGATGAGGCTTGATAAGGCGCTGTTGTATAATACAGTGCATAATCTCAAACCACCAGCGTAAGGATTAATTTATTTTGAAAAAAAAGAATGCTTGCTGACAACTGCTCCTCCAGTTGCCATGCTGGGTGAAAATATTGTACATTTGTTGTTTATAAACTTGGATAAAAGAGGAATGGTATTTACTTCAGATGGAATATCTTTGGACTTATATCTGTGGAAGTTTTCTTCTCCTAAGGAGATTGTCATACCTGAAGGAGGATTGGTTTACCTTTCAGTCAGAGAAAAGGATTTTTTAGAGTCACTCAACACACATGGGCTTGTCACTAACCAACCAGCATGACTGAGGCTTGTGAAAAAAGTGCCATGTTTTGTCTGTGGGGTTTTAAAAATTTTTCTTTGAGCCTGTCATCGCTGTGGTACTGTTGGGCCCACCACCCCCTTTTCCTAGGCCCTAGACAGAGGGAAGGCACTTTCTGTGCAGAACTGCCGTAAGTCAGAAGCCAGAGAATTCCCCCGAGCAGCAATTCCAGGGAAAGGAGCATCGGTAGCAGGCTTTGGGCAGGATCTAGGGGGCTCTCAGCAGATTCAGCGCACAAGCCCACAGGAAGATGTTTGGCTGAACCTGCGGAAGATGAGGGAAGGAGGGAGGCAGGGCCCTCACAACCTGTACCTGTGTTGACATAGGCTGGGCCAGGCGGCATGGAGCAGGGGCTGGATGGAGCCACAGGCACTGGGTGTCAGCAGTTCCCCCTTGCCTTCCTCCAGAAAGGCCTCGTCACTTCCACTCAGTGTTGCCCAACTCACAGGCCCAGCACCTCCCTCTTCTTGACTGACATAAAAATATGTAGCGACAAGCTGTCTGCCATAGCAGAAATCTGATCAGACATTGATTTCAGCAATTGCCTCTATAGGCCAAGACATAAGGCAAATTTGTTTCAGAGTACTGTTAGTGCTGATGCAGGTTGGAGGCAGGAAGGGCCAGCGGCATGGGCAAAGTGTTAGCAACATCTCCACCAAGGGTTCCAGTTATAGATAATTGGAATTCGGATTTGAATAGTGTGTGCTTCTCCATAGTTCATGCATTTTCATTGTAGGAGATCCTATTTGGAGGGAAATTCTGGCCCTCATTTTCCAAGGATTACAGTAACTGTCAGGCATGTACAGAAAGTTGGTGACACCTTCTGTATGGACACCGCGATGCAGCCAGGCTGAAGTTTCTACTTCATGGAGCTGGTGGCTTCGCCCAGGGATTGCGTTGAGCCGCTCTACTGCCCCTTCTCAAAAAATTTCTTTTGAGTCACTTTGTTTCTACCAGCTGATCAAAGGCCGATATCTTTGCCAGCTTGGGACTAGCTAAAGCCTTTCTCCTGCATCCTGATTTATTGCCAAGTCTTTGCTTGATGGGATGGATTTGTTTTACATGCATTTAATCCCACTTTAACACATGCTTCCCACTCCTGCCAAAGTGGGTTTAGAAAAATACATTTTGCTAATGCATGTCTGCTCTCATGTTGTCATCTGGGTGTTTTAAATTGGGGAGTGGAATTAATATGTAGACGTGCGCCCGCTAAACCGTGTTTGTCCTTTCAGGCTAATGGAGGCTGGCAGGATGCAACAACTCCATCTTCTGTGACTTCTCCTACAGAAGGCCCGGGAAGTGTGCACTCGGATACCTCTAACTAATCCCGGCCACACTTTTCCCTGAGCTGACATGCCTTGATAAGTGCATTCAGAGCAATAGGAGGAAAAGGAAAGCGGTTTTGTAGCCCACCATCTACAGCTTTACTGTAAAACCTTATCTTATTAGAGAACTTGGTAAATCTGTTTTTTAAGGAATCATAATCATTTGTATTTATACTTAAAACACACAATGTCGGGGGGGAAAAAAGCACTTTATCCAATTAGGCCAAGATTTAACATTGTTGACAGTCCTATAGCTATTTTATCATAATTTATTATCAATATTTTACATTAATGGTTTCACAGTTGCCAATTACTTGGCCTTAAGGGTAAGAAGAACAATATATGCTAAACCTCAAGCGTTAGAGCAGATGCAAAGATTCACCTCACCTAAATTGAACTCTTGCATATTTCCATCGCAGACTTTGTCTTTCTTTCATGTCATTAATGGGGTTAATAAGAGTTGTTTGGCTATCTCTGTTACTAATGGTTGTGTTTAAGAACCTTCCTCCTTACATTTATGTTGCAATCTCTTCTGTTATAATTAGATCAGAGACTGGTAGCCTCTTTTCTCTCTCTGAAAGCACCAGTGTACAGAGTCTGCTCAGTAATGAGATTATGGATCCAGATTGTTCTGAGAGCCGAAGATGCTTGCTGCTGTTGGAGGTGAACATGAGATCGTCTGGGGTTTTATGGTGTGCACTGGGTGCTGCACAGACTTGTCAAGGTTTGCTACATCCTCTGGGCATCCACAAAAGGCCCTGCTCTCTGGAGTGTTGTATATAGTGTAGCAAAAGAGTATTTATACATCTCACCAATCAGAACACAGCTTTATTACCTCATGCGAACTCATACAAACCAATAGAATTTCAACATGTTCTGTAGCTTAGAGTGCTCACTTACTACCTCTGAACAATACTCACGCTGTAGTTTGTCTCTTTCTTATCTTTTTGCATCTTGTAATTAACTCTTTGTTTCCTTCATAAAATGTAATGTACATTGTAATCTTTTAAAAAGAAAAATCAGGGTTGCATTTGCAACTTTTAAAAAACTGGGAGTGGAAACATTGGGTCTTAATTTAACACAGGATCAGTAAAACTGTTGTAAATACTGAAAAACATTTTGAATGTTCTTCATCTTGTTACTAATCCATGCAAAAAATAAAAGCAGCGACTAATTGTGATGCATTCAGATTTCAGTATTCAGTACTGTATATTTCACCCTGTGTGATGGGGCCCCTTCCTTTCTCTTTTTGTATTGTATGCGATTCTGAAACTGATTGAGTCATGAAAATAATTTGTGGCGGTGATTCTAATGTATTAAAAACGTTTCGTGTTCCTTTCTAACTGGATTACACCCTGGATTGAAAAAGTCTTCCTCGTGGTAGTTATATGTAGTTTCAAACATGAATAAACTTTTTGCTTTCATGATTAAATGCTGGTGCCATTTCTTCCTCCACTCCTTGAGCCCTGCAGAACCAGCTGTGGGGTGTTGGGTGGCAAATGTCCCCCCTTGAGGGGCTGCGAGATGCTGATGAGGCTGAGCTAGTGTGGGCTAAGCCACCTCCTGGCCGGCCTGAGTCCCCACTCCATCCCTTGTGCTCAATAGCACTACAAGGAAAGCATTTCTGCTTTTCACAGATGAGGAAAACAATGCTCATAGGCCTGGGACAGCAAGAGGCCATGCCTTGACCCCAGGTCTCCTGTCCCTGGTGTTCATAATCTTCTTACCTAAGGATGCTTTTGGAGCTTGTTGGACTTACTGTTTAATGACCAAAACCTTGTCATATTCACTTCTTCACCTCCGTGACTTCTGACTTCCTTAATTAATAGCTAAAAGGCAAGTGAAAGGTTGTCTGGAAAAGTGGGCCTCAGACACCATTGAAAACCAATGCCTCTGCAGCTTCTCAACCTCCTTTTGAAAATTCTAACATTGTAATCTATAAGACTGAGTAGAGCTTCTTTAACTAGATTAAACATTGTTTTTGTTTTGTTCAGATTATAGGAAAGTCCATATATTTACATACACGCCTGTTGCTAATGTCTAAACCTTTATAATAAAAGAGGTCCATAGCAGGTAATTGGCCTGTTTACTATATCTCAAGGAAATTGACTCACAGGAAATCAGATTAATGTTAATCAGTTGCAGCAAATTGTCTATGATAAATACAACTGTTTTACTATTTCAGTTGGTAGAGCCAGGCAAAACAAGGTCCAGGGCCACCATTGCCATTAATCTTGAGGCACTTAGACTGTGAGGGTAAACTTTACAAAATAGATTGCCCTCCAAAGCTGTCCTCCCTCATGTGGGTACTCAGCCTGCCTCTAGGAATCTCTCCCATGGCTAAATAGTTATTTGCATGATGCAATTAGCTTGCAGGTCAGCCTGTCTTATCTTCATACACAAAACGATCTTTGTGCTATGTGGTTTTATGAAACATATCCTGTGGAAGCATAACACATAGATACATAAATTGATTTTCTTTAGTGTACTCAGACATCTCTCCTAAGAATATCTTGGGTTTTGTCTTGGGCCAGCAACCTATTGCAAGAAGCTCTGGAGATTCGGAGATTATGTTCCATGCCCTTGGTCTGCTGGCTCTGTTGCTTTAAGCCTGTGGGAAGACGGCAGCATCGTGGGGGAAAGGTGTGCAGAGCTGCTCACCTTGTGGCAGCCAGGAGCCAGCGGTAGATGGGAAGGGGCCAGGGACCACTGCCACATCCCTGTGACCCTCCATCTTCTCTTCCTCCTAGACCTTCTTCCTGTTTCCATCACCTCCCAAAAGTGCTGTCAAATTTTGATTTCATCAATGTATTGATTAATCCATGATTCTTTGTGTTCTCGTCATTTATCAAAAAGCCCTTCAGCTGCTGGCATGGAAGCATGCACCTATAGTCCCAGTGCTCAGGAGGCTGAGGCAAGAGGAGTGCTACGAGTTTGAGGCCTGCCTGACCACATAGTGAGATAGTCTCAAAAACAACAAAAAAATGAAGACAACTAGCAGCTAATCCTTTACTGCAAGTTTTAGGGGGCATATCAAATCCAAATCCAAACTATAGTAGGCTTCTGACTCCTAAGACTGGAGAAGGGAGGTTGCAAGGGCACAGGAAATAACAGGAAGCCACCTGAACTAGCCCCATTCACAAGCGAGGTGAACTAGCCCCATTCACAAGCGAGGGCCCCGTTCCCACACACAGTGTGTTCGTGCAGAAGGGCACAAGTGTGTTTCCGTGTGTGAACATACATGTTCACGAATGTGTGGACCTTGACATTGAGAAATTGCTTCAGCCTGACAAGTGTCGGTCTTCACACAGGAACCCAGGGGTGGGGGACCTCTAAGTATACCAAGTAAGCCTTACCCTGGTCTGAGGCCTGTCCTGGTGCCTTTATTTGCCAGACAGATTGCTGCAGGACCATGAGCCCCAGAGGCAGTGGTCCACAGAGCTTCCTGCATGAGGGAAGGTCACTGGGGAAACCTGCCTCTCTCTCCTCAGAGCTCAAAGCTCACCACCCTGGCCTCAGTGGCCTGAGGAGCTGTGCTGGGTGTATCTGATGGACATCACAGACTGCAAGGTGCCACCTGTATCTAGGGACCAAAATGCTAGGGATGAGGGACAGGAATGGCCTGTGTTCCTGGACTGGATTGGACCTGGCACCAGGACTAGTGGGGACAGGGAACCTCTGGTGGGGGGCAACTGTGTCAGTAGCAGCTGAGTACCTCCCTGCATGTGCACCCCGGACCCTTGGCCCTGCCGCCCCACGGCTGCCCTGCATCTGAGCTGGAGCCCCGTGGCTGCATATTTGAATCCTGTTCTGCCTTCTGTGGTCTGGTGGGCTCTTGTGAAAGACTTTGTGGCCTGAGCCTGTTTCCTTGCTGCCTGTCCTAGACAACCCTTGCACCCTCTGGACAATGCCTGTCCTTCAAGGCCGGGCCCAGATCACTGTGTCCCCAGGCAGAGCTGGCCTTTGGGGCACTTCGTGACCTGACCTGAACTTCGAAGCAGCAGCTCCAGGAGGAGGAGGGAAGGAGAGTGGGCACTGAAGAGGCTGGGAGGGGAGGACACCAGGAAGAGCCAGAAAGACAAGTCCCAGGAGGCAGGAGTGACACCATTATAGTCACTTCCTCTCTATCTGCTCCCAGGTTCTGTCACATCCTCACAGCATCTACCTGTGTCCCACGCTTACCCCCGTTCTATGGATGATGAAGCTGAAGGCATATGTACATAGAGCCGGAACATGAGTTTGGGTGTGTGAACCCAGACTCATATTAAAAGTCCACTGTACCGCTGGATGTGGTAGCACAGGCCTGTAACCCCAGCTACTCAGGAGACTAAGACAAGAGGATTGTAAGTTTGAGCCTTGTCTGGGTAAAATATTGGGATCCTGTTTCAAAATAAAAAATGCTGGAGGTGTAGCTCAGTAGAAGAGCACTTGCCTAGTGTGTGCTAGGCCCTGGATTTGATCCTCAATACTACAAAACAAAAAGGCTGGGTGTGGAGGCTCATGCCTATATCCTAGAACTCTGGAAGGCTGAGACAGGAAGGTTCAGGCCCTTCCTGGGCAATTTAATGACTCCTTGAGGCCTATCTCAAAGCACAAAGGGCTGAGAATGTAGCTCAGAGGGCTTGCCTGGTGGGTGCAAGGCCCTGGATTCAATTTGTATTGGCATCTCAGGCCAATGAAAGGTCTGCTGACCCTGGCCCCAGCCCCACAGAGCCTGACCACCCACAACCCTGTGACTTGGGTGCTGCATGCTTAGTCAGTGGCTAGCAGCTGCTTCTTGCTGGGCCCTGCAAGTGGCTCCCCACTGTAAGGAGCCAAACCTCCAAGTGAGAGAGTTCCCCCATTACAGAGACTCTGCCAGCCTGGACCCCTTAGCAAAACTGTCAGGGCTGGATCTGGGCTCTACCTCATGCCAGTTGTGCGAACCTGGGGCTAGTCAGTCACACAACCTCCCTGTGCCTCAGTTTCCTTAACTGCCGAACACCTGCCTTTAAGTATTATAGAACAGATAGCTTGGTGCTGGGAAAGCCCCTGGAAGAGTGCCCTGGCCAGAATAGGGCTGGGGTATGGTGGTCCTCTTCTGCTCATATTTATTTTCCATGGCCAGCACAAGTCCCGTGTCACCATTGTTGATCAAACCCAGTTGTCCTGAACTCGAGGTCAGGGCCAGATATGGTATGCAGGGCTAGGGCCCAGGAGGCAGGCTGAGTTCTGTGGCCTTCCAGTTGTGTGTGGCCTTGGGCATAGCGCCTCTTCTCTGCAGCCTCAGTTTCCTTGTCTGTGAAGTGGACACACCATTCCTGTGTATCTACCTCCTAAGGATGCGAAGCTTAGGTGAGCTCTGGCAAGCTGACTTCGTGGCCTTTGGGCTTGGCTGACTTCTGGTCAGCAGGCTTGCTGGGTGGGCAGGAAGTGAGGGGCCAAGGAAGGGCCCTGGGCCTGGATCTGCCTCTTCAGCCCACCTGTTCCAGCCTGCTGCTCCCAACGCTCTGGGCCGGACGTCAGCAGAGGCCTCACCTCTCCCCACCATCTCAGGAGATAATAAAAGGCTGGTTCTTTTTTCCTGGTAAAATTTCAGCAGAAAGTGTACGCATCATTAAATATGGAAATCCAGAATTTTATTAGCAATCTGCTAGATCTGAACTGACGCCAATTAAACAAAAAAGATATCATTTATAAAAAGGCAGAGTTCAACTTGTATTAAATATGAAATGCAATTTTCTCCTGGTTTTGATTTATTACTGGTGGTCCATTGTTCAAAGAAGCATGTTATATTTCAATAGAGAAATATTGTTTATTCATTAATATTTTAAAACAGGCTTATTGCTGTGCATGGCTCTCACCGAATGAAACTTATGATTTAAAACATGAATTAATAAACACATTTTAAAGTGTTAGACGAGATCACAACCTCTCATTTTTCATTTTCCTGGGAGCATATTAAATTTTTATAATTCTGCATCTACAGTTTTTTTCTTTTAAATAAAGATGCAGATTCCGAATTACTCTGCTAATTTCAGGTAACCAGGAGTGAAAAGCAATATCGCGGGGACCCGTGTCAGAATCGCAGAATCCCCGAGAAGATGTTCAGGTTTATTTTTGTAATATTCATAAATCAAATAAATGAGCTTTGTGCAGGAGGCAGCGTTCCCACGCATGAGGACGCCAGCTGGAGCGGGCGCTCGCATCAGGGTTGTCTGGGTGTGCAGGTGGGTCCAGCGTGCTAGTGTCCACATGCTCGTGTGTGTGCTCTCGGCAGCGTATCTGCAGAAGTGCACGCACATGGCATGAGCGTGTGCAATCTGAATGCATCTCAGTTGTTTGATTCAATGTCCAAGCAGGATTTATTGAGCACCTACTAAGTGCCAGGTGCTGCTTATTTTGGATGAGCCGGTCACAAGGTGTTCCTCCTTGTCCTTCTCCCACTCAGCT